CCATCTTTTCACACTGAGGACAATTGAGGGACTCAAACACAACTATTAAAAAAGGTTCATACATTTACTTCTCTCGTCCCTGTTGCCTCGTTACAGAATACTCGGCCACACAAGGATTCAGCAGCTTTTCCAATGGAAATGGACAATGGCTAGGTATGGACACTACAAGATTACTAGTAACCCTTAAACAAGGCACACGATCACTGGAGAGATATATTTGAGAGTTTTTAACCATCGCTCACTATTCAAAGTTACCAGACATTATTTTGATAGAGTTTTTCTGTGATGGAATCAATCAACCTCTTCAGTCTAAGCTTAGATGCGAGGGTCCGCGTTTGTCACTCAGCCAATTTTTGGATTATGCTTTGTTGGTTCTCTATTCACTGTGGGTGTCACGGAGGAACGCGACCCCGCACTCACTCGTGTAATGGCGGTCGCACTAGAGCACGCTCACAAAATGGCAGCGACAGCGGAGCCTGATCTCAAAATGGCGGACACAACAGCGCCCCGTTATGTCACAGCTGCCAATCCTGAATCAAGTCAAGTCACAGTTGATCTTCATGAGTCTAGTTAAGTCACAGCTGATCGTCATGAATCAAGTCTGATCATCCAGAGTCACGTCACATCACAGCTGATCTTCCAGAGTCCCGTCACATCACAGCTGATCATCCAGAGTCTTGTCGCTTCCTATCTGTTGCACCCAGATCTTCGAGGTCAGTTTTTCAGTCTCCCAGACTGGCATCCAGCATGGAGGATCCACCTCAGGTGTCAGCACGTGCAGCTGGTATCCCTAAACTAGCGATCTCAGACCTTTCTGTTCCTGACCTGATTCCCCTGTCTGTAGCGCTTCCCACATTGGGGATCGCCTTATGGTGTATTTGGGCTGCATACACCACCACTGAAGCTCTAAAAACGGCGCCACTATGATGTCTCCAGAGGTGGCGGCTGACGCTGCAGATCCTCCCGAGGTAGTGGCGCTCGCTGCTGTGTTCCCCGAGGCGATGGCGCGCTCTGCAGCTTCTCCAGAGGTGGCGGCGTATGCTGCAGAACATCCCGAGGCGGAGGCGCTCGCTTCAGCTCCTTGTGCAGTGGTGGTGCCC